ACAGCAGGCCGACTGGTATGGGTCGCAACAGACCGACTGCTGGCATGGGTCGCAGCAGACCGACTGCTGGCATGGGTCGCAGCAGACTGACTGCTGGCATGGGTCACAGCAGGGCTTCTGGCAAGGGTCGCAGCAGACCGACTGCTGGCATGGGTTGCAGCAGACTGACTGCTGGCATGGGTCACAGCAGGGCTTCTGGCACGGGTCGCAGCAGACTGACTGCTGGCATGGGTCACAGCAGGGCTTCTGGCATGGGTCGCAGCAGATGGACTGCTGGCATGGGCTGCAGCAGACGGTCTTCTGGCATGGGTCGCAGCAGACAGTCTTCTGGCACGGCTGGCTGCAGCACACCGTTTTGCTCTTCACGACGGAGCAGCATCCGGTAGAGCACATGTTATTTGTAGTGTAGTCAAAGCTGGAAGGAGCAAGGACCTGAAACACATCGTACTTTCAGATACAACCCAACTTTCCAACTACATAGGTGTGTTTTGTTTTGGTGTACAAATGCTGCTGTTTAGGTCCATGGGTGATAGCCATATCACACACCGCTTTGTTTCTTTGTCTTGAGTTGCAGAAAAATCTCCTTACAAAAATCACCTGGCACTATCCCAGCGACATTTGTGCATCTTCTGTACTATCCTGGGAACCAACTTTCCTGTGCTCATTCGTGAAGATCGCTACCTGAATTTCCACCCCAAGAAGATTATTTTCAACTGTGCTCTCTTTACCATCTTTTGCAATAAGAAATAGACCAACAGGTTAGGAAAATCTGGATTTCAGAGAGACATGGAGATCATAAAATAATAAAATCATAGAATAGTTTGGGTTGGAAGGGACCTTTAAAGGTCATCTAGTCCAACACCCTACAAAGATCAGATGCAAAGACTCATTTCAATTCATTGCTTGACCAAATCCGAAGGAGAACCATTGCTACCAAGGAACACTGCTAACAGGTACCACTTACCGTGCTAACTGAGTGGTGCAGTTGAGTGAGGAGCAAAGGGACAGGGACACCTTTTATTTAGCTCGAAATGGTCCTGCCGGAAATGAGGTACCCCACAGCAATTCACGATTTACGCATGAAGCCTATACTTATTTGTTGAATGTGCCTTCATCTATTTAGTCTTTGCCTCATGGTTTTTGACCAACCCCTCAATTTTGTGTTATTATCAATATGTTCTGTGAATTTTTTACAATTTTTTAATGTCAAGTTAATTCTTGTGTTATGCCTGTGAACTGCCTAAAAGGTATGTTTCTGTTTATTTTGCATATGGTAAAGCTGTTACATTGAGATGCTAGGTGCCTTGTTCAGAGCTAGTGAGTGCTCAATTAACATAAAAATCATAACTAAGATTGCGGAGCAGTGGATTCCAGAGGCATGCAGAGGCCTTCTGGACGTCACTCGCTTCATGATATTTTTTAAACAGAATTCCAGTAAGTCTAATTCCATGGCCCTGTGTTTTGTTTTTGAATGCAGCAATGGAGAAGCCCAATGTATTCCTTTGGGGTCTCTGGTCATCAGAAGAGCAAAGAAGTGACAGAAAGTTCTTGTCATCTCATCCCTTGCTGCCTCACCCCATCTATGTATGGAAAAATGTCTGCCCTTGGCCTTGCCAATATCAGAAATTTTAGGTGCAAAGGACTGTGCAAATTCATCGTGGAAATTTGGAACAGAGTTTGGATCAAATTGGAGTCCATATTTTTCCAATTCCTTTTTGACATCTTTAAATAAAAGCAAAATGGAAAACTTTTCTGGAATTTTTACATTCTGTTTCTGCTTGGTATAACTTGAAGAGCAAAATTCCTATTCCATTTTTTTAAGTTCTAATATGCCCTCAAGTAATGAAAGATCCACCTACGGATGTTATTTTTGGAATAACTCTATGCTCACCTCTCAGTCACCCATTGGCAGTCATTAGTGCTGATGTTAATGATCATGTTGCAATTATTCATTAATGGTGTTAATATTTATTTTGCATGGAAGCCTGCAGGCCTCACGTGATGCCCTGAGCATATTTAGAATTTCAAATTAAGCTACGCCTTTTTGAAAAATTCTCTCTCTCCGGTCAGAGGTAATTCACGGGACCTAGGACCATGACTGACGTGATTAAATGTTTCTTTTCTGAGATCACACTGGGGAGGAGGGCTGCTCCAGCAACTGTGGGGATGTGCATCTGTGGGAGCAGAGCACCAAAGGACCCTTGCCCACCCTTCTCTATAGCATACACCTTCACTGGAGAGGTCCTGACTTCTGCTGAGGTGAATGAGAGAAGATTCAGGCTGCTTCTGTTCCTACAGACAGATGCTGAGGATGGGATAGGTCATTGTGAACCTTCACTTTGACTTCTGGTGGCATAAAGCACCTATTTGCACCCAGTTTCTCTGGGTAGCTACTGTTTTTATTTGGCTACATCCCAGCTTTTAGAAAGCTACCCAGTCTTGCTTCGAAGAATTCAAAGGACCGTGAAGTCACCACTTCTCCAGGCAAGCTCTTTCCAAGGTCAATGTTCCTGTCCGCTAAAACATGGGCTTTACTCCCCACTGAGTTTGGCTTCATGCTAATGACCCAATTAGACTAGGTCACTGCCACACACTGTAATTTAATTAGTGATAGAGATTTACACCAGCTGAGTACCTGCATCTGGGCTAACAATAAAGGAGCCTCATGGCAACCTGGGAGATACCTGGGAGGAGATTTCTGAGCCTGCAGAGAAATGACAGGAGACACCAACACTGGAAATGTGGAGGACCCTGAGCATGGAGACCAAGTAAGAGATGTTGGTCAAAATGAGGTGGTTTTCTGTATGACTTTGTACAGATCTGGTGCGTTGCTTCATCCAGTGTTCCCCTGAGTCAAAAAAACCCACTGCTGCTGTTACCGCTGTGCACATCAGAAATTTCTAAAGACCCAAGTTCAAGAAAGATGAAGAGCTACTGGAGAGAGTCCAGCGGAGGGCCACGAGGAAGATGAGGGTACTGGAGCATCTGTCCTATGAGGAAAGGCTGAGGGAGCTGGGCTTGTTCAGCCTGGAGAAGAGAAGGCTGAGAGGGGACCTTAGAAATGCTGATCAATATCTGCGGGGGGGGTGTCAGGAGGACGGGGCCAGGCTCTTTCCAGTGGTGCCCAGTGACAGGGCAAGACCCTGCTTGGGCAGGGGGGTTGGACTGAATGACCCACAGAGGTCCCTTCCAACCCCTTCCATTCTGTGATTCTGTGTATGTGAAGCAGATCCATAGGCAGCTGGGCGACCCATAACCAACTTTACAACAGGTGTTTTACTAAAGAAAAGATTCAAATTATATCCAAAAGAAGATCCCAATCAAACTTTGCTTTGAGTGAACAAACTTACCAGTTCATAAAGTCTTTAGTCCTTGATGTTCCAGGTGTCAAACCTCTTACGGGCTGACAAAAGCTTAGAATAGAACAGAACAGAAATGAAATAAGCTTTGTTCTTTCTTCCCCATTATTGCTGCCATTTCTCATCCTCACGTGATGGGAACTTCATGGCTGAGCATAGCAGAAAGCGTAACCATTTCAGGGGCTTTGTGCATTTCGTGGGATTTGGAAAAGGAAGAAGAAAGAAAATTAATCACAGAATGGAAAGTTGGAGGCCTGGGGCAGCAAGTGAAAGTGAACGCATATACTTGAAGACAAAACCACTCCTATGGACAGAAAGCCGTACTGACTCAATACCCAGCTGCAGAGGGGTAAAGAATGAAGAAGGAAAAGAGTTTTAAAGTAGCTGCCAAGGGTCGCATGAAAATGAGCCACCTCTTCCCAATGGCAACAACGTGAATGCATGTGAGTAATTAATTGCTCTCTGCATCCTGTTTGCAACTTTTCCTTTTTAGCAGGCTGTTCCTCTATAATGACAATTTTCTCCATAACCTATAAATAACTAATTCCAAATACTTCTATACCAACTGGTCGTTTACTCGGTACTTGCAGTGCCCAGCGCATCCAGCCTATTTCCCATGCCTGCCCTGGGATGGGTGATTCACACTGGGGAAACCTTCTTTCATTTTACACTGTAGAAATTGTTTAATTGAGGGTGTTCCAAGGCAGGTTCCAAACCCTGCAGGTTTTGCTTCATTTTGTTTCCAAATATAGCAGCGGCTTTTCAAGATTGCATCTGCAGTAAAAACATGAATGTGCAGGCCAGGCTCCTGGCTGCAACTCTGAACCCCCCATCGCATCTGCTGAGCTCAGTGTAAATCTTCGGTTTCACCAGGAATTAACCCGACGTGTTTCCCCAAGCTCTCCGCATGTGGTGCAGCGCTCCTGGCATCACTGGTGGGCGCTGCGGGCATTTTCCTTGACTTTCATGTTTGCGTGGTGTTCCTCCTACTTTAGCCATTTTCACCAGTGATTAAAGCCTGGCTCCAAAACCACGAGAAAAAACAGATGCTGCCAGACAAGCAGATATGACAGGGTGATGGCTAAAAACATCCAGAGCTGTTAGGTAAGCTTGAAATATTATTTTTATTTTCTTGCTGGAGAATGAAGCAGCAAAGCAAGAAAGAAGCTATTCTCAGCAGCCAGTGTGCTTTGCATTGAAAAAAGAAAGCAAACAGCACGAAGCTCGTTAAATTGAGAGACTTATCCTAATACCACGCTACATTCCAACCAATTTAAAAGCATTTGCTTGCAGAGAGGCAGCATGGCTGGCAAGCGATGAGCAAGGAGACGAGCTTGAGGCTTTGGGTGAGGAGCGAGCTGGTGGGTCCAGGTTCGGGGGCCGGATCCTGCTCCTAGTACTTGGGGCATTTTGGTGGCAGCTGGCAGATGTTCTTGGTGTACTGGGGACAGTAGGGGACCTGGGGGCAGTAGCGCTTCACAGGCGGGCAATAGGTCTGCACGGGAGGGCAGTAAAGTTGCACTGGGGGGCAATAGGTCTGCACGGGAGGGCAGCAGGGCTGCACGTAGGTGTACTTCTGCACAGGCTGCCTCTGGGTGGTGTAATGGCAGGAGAGCCCCGAGTCGTGGCAGGAGGAGCCGGATCCGTGGCAGGAAGACCGGGATTCATGGCAGGAGGTTTCACGGCTGTGGCAAGAACCGCGGGAGCACATCTTTCTAGAGTACCGGCAAAGCTGTGAGGAGCAAGAGATCAATGTGGTGAGAGGAGGCCCAGATTCACTTCTTATATTCCCTCCACCTTTTTTTTAAATAATATTTTTCTTTAGCTTCCCAGCGAACTGTTTCTCTTTCTTTTGCCTGCCTAATCTAGATCAAATGCACCCTCAATCCTGCCAAATCTGCAGGGCTTGCTCTGGAAATTGCTGTGTGAAGCTAGGTCCCTGAAAGCTGATGCAATGAGTCCCATGAGCCACTCTCAAACCCCATCTCCCTTGTGGAACATCGTGGAGCTCGTGTGGTCCGAGAATCTCTTCGTGTGCCTTTGCTGCACTTTCCCCGGTGATCCCCGTCCCTCCATCAGCCATTCACCATGCCTGCCTCAGAGCACCGCAAGGGTGCAAACAGAAGGCATTTAGCCAAATCCTAGCTACCAAGAGGTGCAGAAAAAACCTCTGGTGGAAGCTTTGTCTCTCTCAGCATGAACAGAAATAGTAAAAATGGTCTTACCCTCTTCAGCTACAGGGAGAAGTGTCTGGAAGAGCAGGCGAGTGACTGAGGATGGCTGGGCTGAGCGATCTTTTATACGTCTCCAAAAGGTTATCTGGGATGTGAGACACCTCTTTGCAATGACAATTTAATTATTTCCGCACGCAATCCCGTAGATGTTTGCGCTATCCTATTTTTAGTGCTTCCTTTTTGACACATCGTGTTTCGTCCCATATGTAATTCCTAATGCATTTCCTATAAGGATTTTGGAAAGCACTTCTTTCCCATTTCCTGGAGACTGACACTAATCTCATCGGTGTTAATTGGCTTGCCAATGGGCAACCGGGATTGCATCAGTGACAGAAAGATCTTTATGTCTCAGAAATGCTGACTCCTGGGGTAGGCCTACCATTCTGTGCAGGTGACAGCTCAGGATTTTAATTTACATGTTGCTGAATGCCAAGAGGAAATGGGATTACGAGCTGCAACTCACGGGTATGGCACGATGCTGGGAAGTCTGGGGTGATCTCTTTGGTTCCCTGGTCAGGAAAAAAATAAAATATTTCTGATTCTTCCCATGTGCCTTGACTTGCCAAATGACTTAGTTGACCCCATTAGACTGTTCCTTGTGTGTCAAATATTATTTAGTACTTAAAATCAGAGAAAAATCTCTGACGATGAGCTCTGTGCAATGTAGGAGTATGTTAAGTTTTCCTCTTCACAGAATCACAGAATGTGTTAGGGATTGGAAAGGACCTCTGTGGGTCATCTAGTCCAACCCCCTGTCGAAGCAGGGTCACCCAGAGCAGGCTGCATAGGACTGTGTCCAGGGGGGTCTTGAATATCTCCAGAGGAGAATCCCCAACCTCCCTGGGCAGCCTGTTCTAGTGCTCCATCACCCTCAGAGGAAGGAAGTTCTTCCTCGGGTTCAGCTGGAGCTTCCTGTGCTTCAGTTTGTGCCCATTGCCCCTTGTCCTGTCGCTGGGCACCACTGGAAAGAGTCTGGCCCCATCCTCCTGACACCCACCCTTAAGATATTTCTAAGGTCCCCTCTCAGCCTTCTCTTCTCCAGGCTGAACAAGCCCAGCTCCCTCAGCCTTTCCTCGTAGAAGAGATGCTCCAGTCCCCTCATCCTCATAGCCCTCTGCTGGACTCTCTCCAGTAGCTCCTTGTCTTTCTTGAACTGGGGAGCACAGAACTCGACACAGGACTGCAGATGGGGCCTCACTAGGGCTGAGCAGAGGAGGAGGAGAACCTCCCTCGACCAGCTGCTGGCCACAATCCTCTTGATGCACCCCAGGATCCCATTGGCCTTCTTGGCAGCCAGGGCACACTGCTGACTCATAGTCACCCTGTCGTCCCCCAGAACACCCAG